TGTGATTCAAGTCCTGGATAGCATGGCGAGGAAGATCCTTGGGAAACATTGGTCCTAGGCCATCTGCAATGATCTGGACGAAACACTCGGGGAGAATTCGTAATGGGACATCGTCGCTATTCCCGTAGAAAAGACACATCGAATGGTAGTCCCACTCGCGCCACACCTGGGTCATATAGGAATGAGGTGCGCCAGGTATGGTCTCTATGCCGGTTGTTAGTCTAGTATTCCCAGTCCACGATCCAAGTAGCAGAGGAGCCAACGTACTACGGAGCTCGTTGAGCATGTCGTTTTGATGCTTGAAAAAGGGTGATACCCACTGAACTGAGTCTGTTTTCGTTTTCTTGAACATGGCTTCATCGACGATGCGCCAGATCCTAGCAGCGAAGAGATTGACGCTGCCATGTTCCGTCCCAATAAGCCTTTGAGCATCTGGGCACATTCGAATGAACTCTCCCTGAGTAGACTCATCGAGATCATCCCAAGCCACGTTCCGCAAGTGTTGCGAGCAAAACGCGATGATGTCTTCAGTGGTCATTACCCACTCAGGGTTGAGGCAATCGGGTTGAGCACGTGCCGTTACCACCAGACGCGGCGGTTTCGTTTTAAAATCGTACGTCTTTAGGAAGGGTGATATGCTGTCGGTCGGAGGTTCATCCATCTTGGCCTAAAGATTTGTATTAGACGTTGCCTTGCCCCCAATCCGAAGCCATAGCGTGAAAGACTTACGTTGTCAGCCGGTAGTTCGTCGGCAGCTGGCTCTCTGTCGGCTACAAATGCGTCATGCAAGCCGGACTCTGATGCAGTTGGTGACCCAGGGTTATCGGGATCCTCAGTCAGACGAAACGTGGTAAAGCCAAAGTTCCGCTGGTACTCGGTCAAACGCCGAGAGGTGCGAGGCATTGGTGTGGTCGCAAAGTACGAATGCCAGTGAGGGAATGGGAAGAAAGACGGTCGGTCCTTGGGAGAGAAAAGGAGGATCAGACTTGTGGCAGTCTCGACGGCCTGGGTCACGAAAATGGTTAAGACAAGTGGCCAAACGGGCTCCTCGTTGTGCAACGAAAGGTCCTTTGTTATATTTCCGAAGCGGTGGCAGATTACTTCTGAATGTAGCACGTAATGTGTGCCAAATCATTGGAGTATCTAAGCGAGGGTTTCCCATTGTGCAACAGTTGATCCCTGTCTATCAACGGCCCTTCATTCTATTTCCATTCAACCCGTAGATTAGTTCCCAATGTCGCACGTATCGGCTTTCCCGTTCTAGTCCTCCCTCGCGAGTTTGAGTTGCGCAAGCGAGTCTTAGTGGGCGCGACACGGCCGTGCTTGTTTCGTGGCTTGGTGGCGAAGCGATCGATGCCTCCAGTTGAAAGAAAATGGATGTCACGCGTACAACGCCACCCTCCCAAGTTTCCTATTGTCTTGTCCATTCGTACCAGAGTCATGATTTTGGAGCTGCCCATTCTCTTTGTCTCACGTAGTACGTGCTACCAGCCGCTGGTTTCACCATCCTCGTATTCCACCCTGATGTTCCACCATATTCCACCACATTCCACTGATATCCCGCCCTGATGTTCCACTCTATTGATCGGTGAAGAGTCGACGTGGCAGACTGCTTGTTTGTCTCCGGGAGACAACGCCCAGGAGGCTATAGAAGATGCTTATTGTCTGCCACCCCAGGTTGTCCCTACTTCGTTAGCCGAGGCAGTCAAGCAGTTTTCCACTGCTAATGCGTTCTGCGGCCTCGCACGATTGCATGGAGACCTTAGAGGGGCGGGTTTAGGTGATGCCACAAAAGTCGGCACATCCATCTCCCGATCCCGCGCTCGCCTTCATACGACAACAGGCAGTACAGCATCTGTGTAGCCAAGCTGTATCATGGGGGGTTTCACAGATCCTTCCCCGACCGCCGACCATGCATGCTGCCTTCAAATCCCGAGTCAAAGCGCTCCCGGCGCTGGGCAGTGCCTTACCGGTAACGGAATTCGACACAGCAGCCAGTTGCGCCACCAGCAGCCCCGACGAGAAACCTGCATGTTGAAGTCGGTCACTCGAAGCAATTTCCCAAGTAGAAAACGAGAAACGATAGGTACGGCCAAAAGACAGCCGCCGTGAGTAAGTAGCAGGTCATTATTGCTTGGATTGGTTCGATATAAAGGGGTACCTATTCCTTACCCATAGCCGTCTCGTCTACTTCTCCTCGCAAGCCTCACTTTCGAGACATCATTTCCTACCTACCGGACTACGCTGCTAAATCTTTCATCTCGCAATTGACTCCTCTGTCTCTCCTTGTGTTCCACCCTTTGCACCATGGTTCCACCATCCATCACCCAACCTAGTGGCAGCAACTGCACGCCAGTGTTTGTCGGAATCGATTTTGGCACCACGTGAGTTTTCTTGTTCGTCGATCAGTTATTGTCAGTAGACTGACATTTGTCCAACCAGTTTCTCCGGACTGGCATATAACATTGGCGAGTCGTCCGAGCAAACCAATTTCGTGGATTGGGGATCCGACCATCCCTCACCCAAGTTTCCCACCAAGGTAACCATTTCCAACGAGACCATTCTTTGCGGTGCTCAAATTCCAGATGGAGAGGAATCAATTCAATGGTTCAAATTGGCTCTCCTGCACTCTGATGACCTCGACGACGAGATTGAACAGTCTCCGCTCTTTCAAGAACATGAGGCATTCCGGAAGAAACTCAAGCTGAAAGCGTACGAGGTGGTGAAGCACCTCTTTGATTACATGTGGGCGAAGTTCTTAGACGCGCTGCACTCTACAAGCCCTAGGGGAACTTATTCGTTCCACCTTACCATTGCCGTGCCAGCCAACTGGCCTCAGTACATATTCGATGCTATTGAGAAGGCCATCGTCGAGTCTGGTATTCGTCGACAGATCCACGGACTAGTCAGCTTTGTGTCTGAGCCTGAAGCGACCATCCTTACTGCCGCCGCAGAACCCGCCATAATACTAGTAAGTCTGTGTTTTGCCAAGTTAGGCCCTTCCCTACTGAGATCTCTTGGGATAGGATGGCAGTATACTGGAAAATGTTTCGGTCCTGAAGTTTCAGAAGGGTGATATTATTATCGTTTGCGACTGTGGTGGAGGGACAGTGGTAAGCTTAAGCATTCTCTCACATACCATCCCATGCTCTAACCTTTATCGCAATAGGATATAGGGGGATATAAAATTTCCCACCTGACCCCTACCACCATGACTGAGTGCATCAGAGGAACATGCCGATTGAACGGCGCCATCAGGTTGGACGATAGGTTCATGGATCTCTTAGACACCAAAGCCAAAGATGTCCATACTCACAGGGGATTCGATTCCGGTAAGCGGGAGTACTTCCGCCAGTTCGCCGACATGTTCTGGGAGAAGGACATGAAACGGAACTTCGGATCAGACAAGACTGTCTGGACCTACCCTGTGCCCGGGCAGTGGCTCGCGAGTAACGCCGCGCGTCGAGGGGAGTATCCTACGCTTACGTTCACTCTGTATGAAACCCTGCGAATCCTCGTTACTGAAGATTTTGCGTTCCAAACTCTCGCTGGTCTCCGAAATCTAGCTAAGACCTGGCAGCGAGGATCTGAATTCCGTTTTCGAGCCCGCGATACAAATCGCCCAGCTCGTTGAAGAGCAGATCAATCTGGTTCTTGAACAGACCGAAACGGCACCGACGGTATGAATCCATCTCTTCTATTTCAACACTTGTTCTGCGCTAACTCTTGATGTCCTCGAAAAGTACGTCCTTATTTCTGGTGGCTTTGGCCTAAACAAATACCTTCGACGGATAATCCAGAAAAGGGTGAACGAAGTCTCGGAGAGAATCAACCACAGAGTGCGCGTAGCGGCTCTCCCGGGTGACAGAAGGTAAGAGATTCCCCCCCATTTTCTACGAATCTAGTTGCTAATTCACATATCAGTAGCAGTGCAGTGTCCAAGGGGGCTGTGAAGAAATGCATGCTGAAATTCGCTGCGCAATCGGAACTTAGAGACTCAATTCCACGAGTGGTCGAACATGTAGCCCCGGCGACCTACGGCATCCTATCCAAAGTCGAGCACGGATCATACGAGTGGTTTGTTTCTGAGGTTGGAAGACCTAAATCTCAAGCAGTCGGACATAAATGCTGATTGATCACGCTTCATAGGGCCAAGTCCTCAGCGTCGCCCATCCTCCAGTGTTGAATCTAGATGCCAGCTCATTTGACATCTTTTCTGAATCGGGTGTGGAATTTGGGCTCTCTCTGGAAGTCTTCCGGAAGTCAGAATATGGCGATGCGCATTTGTATTCCACTGTGAAGTGGAAACCGGATCGGGGCATTGAGGTGTTGGGTGCAGGAGGTGGATCAATCCAGCTCCGCCCTTGGATGGATGGAGACAAGCTGAAGATAAGTATTACCTATCGAAACATCTTACAAGGTGAGGATAGAGTTACTATTAGATATATAGAAAATTGGTGAGATTATTGAGTGAGGGAGTGAGCAGAGGACACTAAGAACACACACAACCCACCCAGAGGCAGAGCTGTGATGACCGCGGTAGTGTTGTGTCGGAAAGGTCGGATAGGGTCAGGTTTGGGGTCCCGTTGATGACTTGTCTGTGAATGTTACCAGTAGGCCTTGCAGTGCTTGCATGATGCCGTTTCCGGCAGAACCCAGTATCGAACCTTGGTGAGCGAGGCCTTGTTAGAGTAGACGAGATTTGGGTCGTGAGACTGAGCTTGAGATTTGACCTACCAGCTATAAGGAGCACGGGCTCCTTGCTTGCAGCCACACAAACCACCCCGGCAGTGAGTGCTAACAGGCTGGAGCGTATCACCCATACGTCCAAATATAGCGGCCGCGATCCAGTTTTCCATTCAAGGATCTGCGTGATGCTTGCTAGAGCAACCAGCATGCATAGGGTGACCAGAGACTTCACACCTAGGATATATCCTGCAGTAGAGATGGACCAGTCTAGCAGTTTGGACGTATACTGTATGAACAAACCACCCGTCATGCGAGAGAATGCAGATAAGAAGATGATGGACAAGCACAGCGTCATCTCCCTAGGGATGGTGAATGGATTTAGGCTCTGGAAAGCTTGCTTTAAGTCGCCGAACCACCGCCGGGCTAGGGAGATAAGCACTTGGCTCTAGTTAGAGGCATTATTAGTTAGGAATAGTTGATACGCAGTATGGATGTGTTGGGTTAATAGTAATAATACCTTGGTGGACTGATCTAGGGCTCCCTGACCAGTTGCTTGACCCTTGGAAGTGTCTGACTTTTTGCGGGATACTAGAGTCTCTGGCATTGCAAGTATCAGAGGAAATGAGAGGCAGATGATGGGAGCACTGAATTTGAATGGTAGCCAAAGGTCCTTGGATAGGAGCCACGATCCAACGGGGGCCGCTATAATGTCGGTTGCTAAGAGGCCCGCACCAACAAGATAAAATATTGTGGTTCTCATATTCTCAGGAGCCACATCGGCGATGACGGTGGCCATGATGGCGAATAGCACCCGGGATCCACCACCGACGGCGAGGAAGACTGGCGAGAGCAGAACGAGGTGGGTGGGGAAAGTCTGGTGGAAATAGCAGACGAGGATGACCCAGAAGTACGCCGTGACCTGGCCCAGCATGCCCAGGAACGCCACAGGCTTGCGGCCAATTCTGTCGGCAAGGTGACCATATGGAATGGTAAGTATCAGACCTACGAAACCAACACGTCGGCTTTGGCACTCTGCGAATAGAGGTCTCAGTTAGGTCAGGTCTCACCGGGCACGGTCATCAACAACGACTTGACAGCCCTCATGTAGGCCAAATCAACTTGAATCTCGTTGAGCTTGCAGAGCCTTTCGTCCACGTAGGAGCGCGGCAGCGGGCCAATGACGGACGGGTCATGCTCGAGGTAGTAGTCTCTGCAGATAGCCATCTCAAGCAGCCGCACCTCGGGGGTGTCGACCAGGGAACCGCCCAAGTCAGCGACAAACGATAGAGCGAAGATGAAGAACAGGGCGTAGGGATACAGCGGCGACTTCAATTCAGTGCTCGATACCGCATCGCCGGCGGCCCCGCTGACAGCATCGGCGGATGAGGATGAGGTAGACTGATGTTGTGCCAGAAGCGGTGCGGTTTCGTCGACCGTTTGCGAGGCATCGTCGCGCGGCTCCATGCTGAAGTCTACGTACGGAGAAGGGTAGGTCCTGTTTGGGTCGTTTCGGACGGGCTGACATTGGATTAATCGGAGCCACGTGACCAGGACGACCGGGCCCATTTCCTATACAACCAGCCGCCAGCGAAGAGTCTCACAGCCTGATAACAATGACCCCTCAACAATTCCTTGCTCCGAGTTCAAGACAAGCAGTGTGCATGCTGAAGATGGCCCACAGTCGAGACTTGTACGTGGGAGACTGGAAACTCAAGGGGCATTTGCTCGAAAACGAACGGTTGCTGGTGCAGGTCGAGGTTCGCAGCTCTATATGGGTCAACATCGTCGTCGTCGAACAACAATCGGCATGCACTCCTCAATCATCTGAAGAAAGCTGGAGGACTCTGCTGTTTGACTGGTTCCTTGGCCGAAACCAACAGCCTGCACCAGACGCCAAGGCAAGCGAGACGCTCCTGCTCGAGATTCTCAGGTCGTGCGACGTGCGCTACCAGGATGTGCTCCCGCAGTTTGGCAACACTCTGTTCTTGGCCGACGTTGACACCCATGGCCGGCCTACCGTGATCGAAGAGGCAGATGCGACCATTATTGACGCCCTGCCTACGGCGGAAGTTCTCTTCGGCAACAAGGCCGTCTCGCTGCCAATCATCCCGAAATCCGAGCTCCGCGTTCAGGCTGTCAACGGCACCTTCTTCCTCCCCCAAACAAGGCCCGTCTCGTACCATGGGAAGACTCTCGTGGCCAAGGGCCCGGCATCCGCCGCCAGGACCCTCGATGACCTCAGGGACGCCGTGAATCTCTCGTCGCTACAGTCGGGCCGTCCGCATCCGAATATCCTCCCACCGCCGACCGCTCTCGTGCGGCTCTCCGACGACGACGAAAGGATATGTGGCTTCCTCATCCCGTTCTACGAGAATGGGAACCTTGATTCTTATGCGCGGAAACTCCGCCGTGCCGACGAGCTCACTCCCGATATCCTTTGGGCTTGGTTTCGCCAGCTCCTTTCGGCCACCAAGTTTCTTATCGATGCTGAGACATGGCATGGGGACATCAAGCCCGACAACATTGTCGTCGACTCGTCGGGGGCAATCGTGCTGATCGACATGGCCAGAAAATATACCACCACTTCCATCGCGAGCCCGGAGGTGATGAAAGGCAAGGAAGACCCAAATCCAACCCTGTCCCGCGCGTTTTCCTTGCTTCCTAGTCGTGGACCCTGAGGCTGATGGCAATGCTAATGCTGGGTGTGTAGCGGCTAAAGAACGTGGCAGCCTCGAAGTGCCAGCTGACTGGCCTATGGAGGCCATTGAGAAGTCTGAAGTCTACTCGATTGGGAGGACTATTTTCTTCATCTCGGAAGGCATTGCAATGGAGGACATCTATAACAATCCGAGGAGCCCCCAGGCGTCCCAGACGTCCTTTACCGACACAAGCTCGACGCCTGCCGATCTCAGGGACCTCATCCTGGCTTGTGTCAAGGACGACCTAGTTCAACGTCCTAGCTTGGACGATCTATCGAGCTTGGTGCTAACTACGGGACGTAGCCCTACGGAGGTTGACGCTTGAAGTAATGTTAGCTCCGACCCACACAGACAGGGGGGTCAGACCGGTCACTTATATGCGACCAGTCCAACTGGGGCACGGGGCATCGCTCCTGGAGTCAATCAGCTCAACTTGGGCTTCACCAAGCAAAACCAATGCTGAAAGGGTACGCCGCTGATGCGCCAGCTTCCCGAGATTGGAGAATTAAGCTCCATGATGCAATGCTACCTGTCCGCCCATACCCTCGAGTCCTTCCAAATTTCATGAATTCTCCTTTCGAGGAATAAACTCCGGATTTTACTTCTTCCACTGAAACCTGCAGCACCTGCTCAAATGCGACTGTGGACAGTGGCCTGCGACCGCGACCTCCCCCATTTTCCCGAAATCCTCCTTGACATCCGCTCTCAAGTCGTTCGCCCAGGCGTTCCAATCTTTCCGGATTTCTAGGGGAGGTGACCACTCTCACGTGCATACAACGTTACTGGAATGAGGTTATCGCATCAACAGCATGCGACGTGGCAGAGCCCAATTCGCATCATTAATTGGCGGGGCTGTTAAACCAGATGTTTGTAGACCTGGAGAACTGGTCACACCTACGCATAAGACGTTGAGTGGCCCTAGAGAGCGCACGCGGCGGGGTTTCAAAGATGGCGCTAAGGAGTGTTAACAAATACAGCCATTATACTGTATTTGTCTATTGTGACATAAGTATAGCGCAACTGAAACCATCCGTCCTAACAAAACTTACATATTCAACAGCAACCTAATTTTGTAGCTTTACAATGGGCTATCTGGCTGATTGCCAAGAAGCATGACTGTCTGAGAGATAATGAAGTGTGTGTTATCTCAGTGGCGAACCTCAAACTAACAAGTTAAGAGATACCAACCCTGCCACTACAGATAGGCAGAGTATCAGGTAACTTCTATCCAATACCTGTAGGGTAGGTTAGGCTGGGATGGTATCGTCCTAAGCGAAGCCGTTAAGATACCAATTACGCTAATCTCTTTAAGAATTACAGCCAAACTAATGAGATTATAACCACTGGCTTGATTAGAGCTTCTGTTTGGTATCGATTCCATCATAGTCTGAGATATAATAGCAGATTGTTGTATCCAGTCGAGTAATGTATATCGTACCAATTATGGCCCCCAGTTCCTGCGTCAACGTGGTTCGATTACGTGACTACGTTCCATCCCAAAGCGCAGATTAAGTTAATTACAGTCCGCCTGAAAAGCTATCTATCGTTCTTATTAAAGATAGGAGCCCACAGAAGGCAGCCTGAGAGGCACGGGGAGGGCCCGACTGTAAGTGGGGCTATTATGTTCAGACTAATAGTGTAAACTACAGTTTGCACTGTAGTTTAGTTTCGACCTTGACGGACGGACTAATAGTTCAGTTTGCGTATCTCAGGCAAATTGGCAGTTTAGTGTAGCTAAGTCAAACGGACTGGTAGTTTAGTGTGACTAAGGCAAACGCACTAAATGAGCAGTTTGAGGCTTTCACACGCACTGGTTGCACTATTAGGAGCCCTGCCTCAACGCATCGTCTCCATGTAGGGACGTTCGACCGCTTACCAGGGCTTGAGCTATATTCAAGATCCCACCCACTGCCAGACAACCGACGCCGGACTCTCTCGAAAGTGTTCAGGGAGGCTTCAAAGGTGACTTGGAATCTCTCCTCACGGATGAGCCTCTCGCGCCGGGTTACTAGAAGCGGAAAGACATTAGCATGACGAGCATAACCAGCCCAAGAGTATTTAAATGCCTGACCTATACGTCCCCTCGAAACCTCGGCTCGGACTTGGTGATACGTCATTTGCTGAAAAATGGGGCGGTATACGACCTGGTCGGAGGGATGTGAGCGAAACTCGACGAGTGTTCCGTCGCCCTGCCGAAACGCTCAACATCTAGCCTGCGGTAGATGAGATGATACACCGAGCCCAGCCTTCTACTGTGCCAGCTGCCGAAGCCTAGCACTAGACCTGGGCTATCCCTTCAGTGACAGCACTGCAGTGCTCCAGACATCCTTTGCCAGATAATCTCGTTCTAGCCATGTGTGTTCCTGGCCATGTGTATTCACATCCCACACTCTGCCCCGCGCATGTACCGGCCTTCCCCGCGGCTGGTATCCGATAGACGGTACACATTTGAGATCAAGCGATAGGCAACCTACAAGGTATTTCAGCACTGCAGTGCTCCAGCCCCGCATCTTTCCAGACATCCTGTGCCAGGATCAGCATCACAGCCATGTCCATTACTATACCGCGACCCGTGCCAGAACAGCCTCGGGCTATCGCGCATGTACTGGCCGTCCCCGTTGCTGCTGCTTGGTGGATGGTACCGTGGATAAACCACTCGACTGTGTGTCTATTTGCCTGTGCACAGGTGCCACCCGAAGTTGCGGCGCAAAACCCTCTGCCAATGCCATTATTTTTCTTGTGCTCATCGTACCGCGCCTCATTCATCCCAAGCCATAAAGTGCTCGCGACGTTCTGCATCCTCACCGTGGACTGCGCAGACGTGAGAGCCTAAATTGTCAGAAGCTAGGTGCTGCTTGAGCTGCGCGGCTGAGGCGCAGGTGTCAGCATCGGTGAGTGCAGGCGAACTCGCTGGGCTGCATATACTAGAACCTGCCTATGCAGAATACGGAAGTAGGTTGGGAATACTTCTAGGATTCGTGTATATAAATGTGAGGGCTTCCCTGCCCTGACAATCGGAAAGCCCGCTCGCTGATGGTGACTCCCTGGCTGAATGACAACTAGTATAGGGCAGGGGGCAGGTCGTCGGTTGGTTATATTTTTTTTTTTTTTTTTAGTTTGACTAGGCATCTATTATCTAACCATTCGTCGCTCACCCACCCGTCTATTATACCGCTATCTTCTATATATATCTTGCCTGCTTATAATTATGGTATATTTATAGTATTCTGTGGAGGGTGAAATCTCCAATTTCTTTGCGAAAACGTCTGCGACTCGTCTAGAATGCGATGCGCGTGCAGAGGAGCTTGTTGGTGGCAAGGCCACCCGTGTCGACGTCTAAGGTAACTGCAGCTACTCCGTTTATGCCGGGCCATTTCTTGAGTACGTTGTTCAGTTCCGACTGAAGTCTTTGCAGCTCGATATAGAGATCGCTTCTCTGGCGAGATAGGTGTATGGATCTTTGGCTCTAACTGTTTCGTTTGAGGGCTAAGTGGGGGATGAATCGAAAGATAAGGAACCTCTTTATGTATATGTTATGAGCCGAATTAAGGGTGTGACCCATCTGGACTTTATTCTGGCATATGATTGTCCTGACAATTTACTAGAGAACTTTGTGCGATGCTAAAGACTGATGGTAGATGTGGTATGGTAAGAGAGATAGCTAACTGAGTAATATCTTTACTTCTCTGATACTGACGGCTGTAGATTCTTTGCTCTTGTGTGGAAAGCGCTGCAGCTAGTTGATTAAGCCTATTATGTAAAGGTTAGAGAGATATTCGAAAGAGAACTGCGGATGTTGCTTGAAGCACTCCCGGTCTGATTGCACTCCGTCGTCTAGAAGTGTATTGACTTAATGGACGCTATACTCTTACTTCCTGTGGTCCTTCTTTATAGAGATTTTGGTACCTGCAATATTATTGTTGATGAGGCAACTTGCTACCTGGTTGGAGTTATTGACTGGGCTGAGGCGGAGATCTGTCCCTTTGGTGTGAACCTCCACTCCCTGCAGAGCCTGACTGGGAAGCTGCACTTTTGGAACGGCTGGATACGGTATGACGACTATGATAATGTTCACAAGGTCTTTTGGACTACCTTCAGAGACGAAGTAGGCGGCTTAGGGGATGATTGTATCGAAACCATCCGACTAGCCTGGATTATGGGCTTATTGCTGTTAAGAGGCTTTACCAGCCGCCTTGTAAATAAACCAGAGGCCGTTCCTATCGGAGATGATGAACGTGGACGTTACAATATGTTGTCACTGGATGGGTTCCTGGTTAACCCCGCAACAAGGTTTGAAGATATTGATTGAAGATATGGCAGGCGCGGTGAATTTTACTGGACGAAGAATGGTGTGTATGAAGCCTAATAATAGCAAAAGCCCAATATGAAGTGGCTGAAATGAATGAAACAGGTGTGAAGAAGGTTTGAGGGAAGGTTAGAGTATACCAGCCTTAATAAGAGCAGACTTGAGGTTATTAACGTTGTCCAGCTTAGGAAGCGGCTTACCAGTATTGAAGATCTTGTGATTGCCCGATGTTATCTCTGCGTGCCTTTCGTTGGATTGATAAATGCGCGGGTTTCCATCTACCTTTTCGAACTTCCACCCAGTGATTCTAGTGGGAATACACCCTTTCACAACCGACAAGTCCAACATGACTGTCCCCTGGTCCAGAATGAGCTCTGATATAGAGTGGCCATTGCACTCGCCGAGAACCTGGAGGCCAATAAGACCGGTGATGCTGTGCTTTGTAAGATAATCGACGAGGTCGTCCAAAAAGCCCTTTCCGACACTCGATAGGTCAGGCATTGGGGCCTCCTGGTATTCATAGGCACATAAACCATCTTTGCCGTAGGCAAAGATGTGGCCGTGGACCGTCGAGTGGTCGATCTCCTCGATCAGAGTCACTTTGGCCCAACGGCCCCTAGGCTCCTCAAAATTGGAACCGAGCAAGACTGTGCCGTCAGGAATTTTGAAGTGACCGTGGATGAGATGGATACTCCAGCATCCAGACTTGGGATCCTATGTCACCGCATAAAGGAGAAGATGGGCTGGCACGAGCCTCAGGAGGGATTCTCCATTTGGTAGTCGGGGGAATCGACAGCTATGAGGCGATTGAGAGCCGTGAGTGAGCCATCCTCAGTCTCGGGCTTCACCTGGCCGGCCCGGTGAGTATAAATTCGATCCGGTCCTGCTCGGCCCGTAGGCTTTCGGTTACTTGTGTTCGTATCATCAAGTGCACTTCGCACTATTACTCTTCGACGGAATCGATACGCCGACGAATACCAAGTACGCAATCCGGATCCTCCAACGAAGGTCAAATATTGGCGAGCAACAGGCCGGTTGATGACAGCCCCAAGTTCCATCAATATGGAAGAGGGAAACCCACCCGTTGCAAGTTCCGTGAGGCCGAGGTATGAAATACTATATATCTCCCATCCGGAGACAGTCCTCCGGCTAATCATATTGCCTGCCAGGAGTGACCCTTCCACACAACCTGTATCCACTTCACGGACACTTGACAACTCTGCCTGTCTCGCATTCGCCAATGGGTCGCGGGGATGCGGGTCCCTCCAAGAACAGGGAAACGGCTCAGTCGACCTGGCCTCGACCACGGTAGAAATAGGTTCATTCAGGATCCCGGCATCCGACGGGAAAGAGTCAACCTCGATAGATCGAGACCGTACATCACCCCGCAAGGACCTTGAGGCTTCATCGCTAGCCTGTCTTCTCCAAAGAATTCAGGATGATGAGGACAAGCTTGAGGGAGGTATGACTCAGATGGAGAGGTTTCTCTCGCGGTCGAATGATAGACCGATCCATGAGCGACTTTTGGAGATTGCCATGCGATAGTGTCTTAATGGCATCGCGTTACCATTTCAAGAGATATGTCGCGGTTTAGACTTGGTGGTTGGAGCCCAATAAGAAATAGTACATTATCCTCCTAAAAAGTTGAGCATCTGAGGTTCTCTTGGACCAAAGTGAGGCCGATGGTGTAGGGGGCCAAGGACGTGACACACCGTGTCCTGGGCTAGAGTTGTTGTTGTCAAGCAGGGCGAGGGGGTTGAGGCAGGTTAAGGGACGATGGAAGATCTTGTCTTTTCTCTATCTAACAGAGGGCTCGCAGCAGCTGTATATATAAGGGTGCCCTCATCGTCATAGGAGCTACGATAAGGTTTTCTTAAGACCGTATCCAAGGGATCCGGGTCTTCGAGACCGCCTTGCTAGAGATCCAGGCCTTTGAGACCGGGCCGCGATCTCAAGAGCTGACAGATGTGGCCCAGGGCTTTCCTAGCATACCTGTTCTGTCTGACAAGGCGTGTTGAGGCCAATCTAGGTTTGATGAGACTATTCTAGTTGATCTAAACCAAGGATCGATCTAGAAAGCTAGATCGGACCGTAGAACGATTCTGCTGGCTAGGACCTTGTTCCGTCTGACAGTTGTATTGGTTTGGCTTAGGGAAGAAATAGGATGATGATGCTGCAGAGCCCTTCGCCAAGAATGAGTCCGCTAGCAAAAACGGCCATCAAGCTGTAAGATCCTTCACGATAGGTACGGCAGTACCAGCTGAGAAGACCGCCTATCATGCGGGCCAGAGAGAACGAAGGAGTTGTGTAAATGCCTAAGGAAGCAGCAGTCAGATGGTGCGCGTGTGTCATCCAAAGAGGTCTCGAGGGAGGTCTCGTCTTACCAACAGCAAAAGCCACTCCGCTGGGCAATATGTTTTGCCACCTGTGTTCCGCGTACCTCATCTTAATGACGGTGGTGATGGAGAAGAAGATGCCAAAGGCAGTCACAAACTCGAGAGCGCCATCGGGCAGGCCCTTTCCCGTCACTAGTCTCGCAGCAATGATGGCCATGTACCCTACCGGAATCTGAAAGCGCTTGTCCGGGATGGTGTATACGACAGTGTACAGTTTGTACAGGCCACAGGCCATGAACGAGCCTGCAATGCAGCCGATGATCTGGCCGTAAAGCTGCACCCAGGCTTTGGCACCAACTAGATGGCCAATTTTCAGGTCAAACGCGAGGTCGCCTGCCTGGTTCGCCCCAGCCTCTGCTATCGAGCCCGCAACGAGATTGATGAGAATCACATGAGAATTCGATGGCGGAACAACTACAGCAAATATGAGCTGTGCCACCTTTCCTGCAAAGGATTAGCGCCGCCATGAACACACTCGGAGGCATTCCTCCCGCATACCAATCCCAGCTATCGGGTTGACATCAGTCTCAGCAACAGCTCGAATCCCCATGATGCTTAATGGGAGTGTTAGAGCAACCGAAAGAACAAGAACATGTCTAGGCATAAAGCCGAAGACAATGGTGGAAGCTAAAACGCAGAACAACGATGCTGCTAAGAGACTGAGAAGCGTTACCATCCACTGGTCTGTAGGCGTTCTGGGCTGATGGGATGTTTCGGGCTCATCGCCGGAGCTGCCGATGACTGCAAAACCAGCAGTGGAAGAGCTGGCCCTGTTGAATTTAGCCCTTGCGGCCGCGATGAATGGCCACCCAAGCTTCACCAGCGAGTCTGCCAGCAATGTGGCCAGGCCGATCCAAACAATCCAGGCGCGACTGCCAGTATCCCAATCTCCGACATGGCCTGTCGCCCAGCCTTTGGCCCGGGCAAGAGGCGATAGAACACCCCAGCCGACTATGGCGCCAAGCAGCATGTGCAAGGAGATGATAGGCCCGGAAACCATGCCAGTGCCTATAAACGCCGGGGAAATATCGAAGGACCAGAGCCATGTGTCCCTGGCTGTGATGCCCAGGACGGGTAGGTTTCGGAGGACTGGCATGAAGTAGCATAAAATGGTCTACAAAATAGACGAGTCAAAACGGGTACAGCTGAGGGGCTTCGTTCCTCCATGGGAGGGAGGGCTACTTACGATGCCGTGTGGCCATGGCGAAAATGAGGCCGAAAAATCCGACACCGAGCGACCACAAGACCAGCTGGCCGTATGAGAGCCTCACGGGTCCATGCTCGTCCGGTTTGGCCAAGAATTCCAAAGCCGGTATCGCGGCCAAGAGCCCACCAGTGGCCACCATGGTCCCCATCGCACCCGCTACTGTTTGAACGAGGACGTTCTCTTCGGGGGAAAAGGGAAGGCGTCTCTGCAAAGGTCGAAGAGCCTTGAAGATGGCGAAGCCCATCAGCGTGCTGGTGCTGGACATGGACGAGCTGACGCCCGTTTGGAGGCCAAGGTACATGTTGGACAGGCAGACGGGAAGGCCAAGAAGCAATCCAACGACAATTGCGCGGTACGTGAAGCTCCGCCCCATGCGTGAGCTCCGGGGGTTGGACATGGTGCCGTAGTCCTCCTGTCCCGGATTGTTTCCATCGACCCTGCTGGTCATGGTGTCGTCAACAGCTTCCGGGGCCGCGCTCATGGTGGGCGGCGTGGAGCAGGAGATTCTGGGATTGCAAAGGAGATAGAGGACGTACTTGGCGACGAGGACGTGGCGGGCGGTATGCTTGTGTCCTGGTCAGGTATCCCTGCTTGCTTGTAGAAGGGCACGGGATGAGCGACATGAAGAGTAGAGAATATTCGTCGACTGCAGGCTGCAAATAGTTGCATCATGTTTAAGGTGGGTGGCATTTCTGCCCTTTTTAGCTTTTGCGTCCCGCTGACCCACCACACCCAACAGCATACGATGATCAAGACGTTTTCCTAGATGCCCTGAAGCTTAAGCTTTCACCGGAAGACTACGGGATGTATCTGGCGCACCTGAGAAAGGTGGCAAGACATGGGCTAGACAAGATCTTCGCCGAGTACAACGTCGATGTCATTGTCGGCCCCTGCGACAGCCCACTCTCCAGTCTGTCAAGCGGGAGCGGTACCGTCATCTCGATTGTCTTCACTAAGCTCTCCTAGCTGACGTCTTCGAAGGCTATCCTATGGCAGCGATGCCCCTAGGCTACGCAGAATACAACGGCCGTCCGTTTGGCCTATTGGCTCTAGCCGGAAAGCATCAAGAAGCCAAGGTGCTAACATTACTGAACGCTTGGGAGGGAACATTCGGACCTAGGAAGCCGCCGCCGATGCTCTCAGGCGTGTGTGGAACAAAATGAGACATTTGAATTGCTGTAATGAAGAAACCAGCTCTTGAGATCATAGTAGTAACTATTTCGCAAATTGAACCCTTTAGCTCTAATTGAGGCTTAGAAGCCGCAACGATTCCTCCATGGATGCTTCGAGATCCCTCTGAGTGGAAATATGTGTCAATTCGGACTCATTCAATCTCGGCACTCCTTCTCCATTCGAAAATGGGGCAAACTTGTCGACGAGGTGATACATATCCCGGTACGCTCTGATACCAATATTAAGTCAGTGCGGTCTGGTAGGGTTGCATCACGACTTACAACTCGCGTCCCCGTCTGCCTTGACTGAGGTGGTTTGCTGAATATATGATATTATAATAGACACTATACAGTCGATTTCTATCGTCCCACTCGTTCTTGGGCTCACTCGGACTGAAATGCCGGAGATATGTGCTCATGTAAAGCCTGTCGCTGATGTTGTTCATGTGAGGGCGCCAGTAGGCCGCCTCCATTTCGTGGTGGGCATAGAAACAAGCCGCGTCAAAGATATATATGTCGCCATTCTTAGATGATACGCCGATATTTCCCTCCCACAGATCGGAATGAATCAAACTGGGCTTAACTTTGCCGTCCTTGTCCTCAAGAGCATCAAGCAAGCGAGGTACGACCTGAGTTACCAGACGTTTTTCCAACTTATCGAGCTCTTCCCAGGGCCCATTTCCTTGGACGTCTACCTCTATGGCATGTCGGAGCAGTTTCATAAAGAACGTCGTCCAAACCTGTTCCCATGATACAAGCTGCTGTGTACGACCTAGACAGGTTGTGATGTGGAAGCCAAATTGGCCGTTTGGGGAGCGACTCTCGCGATGAAGTCGGGCGATTTTAGTACAGAGTTGCTCTGGGTCCGGCATGCCCCCAATAAAGTCGACGAACTCGACCAGAAGAAAATAGGACTCCGGTTCTTGAAGGGTGCATCTGCCCCATGAATGTAGCTTGGGGACAAGATCAGGCACCCACTTATATAACTCAGATATGGAGTTATATTCTCCTTCCAGGGTGGTCCTGCCGTTTGCCCCTGGTGCATACTTCAGCAAGTACTGCTGATCGGAGCCATCTGGAAACTTGAGGTGCAGTTGAACTGTGGCCGCAAAGTTCGATGTGCCATAGCGATTTGCTGAGATGATCTCTGTCCTCTCTGGAAATCTCACCAGAACGTTTGCGTCAACTCGGGCATCTCCAGAATAGGGCTGTGGGCTTCTGTAGGTACGATCGATAAGAGACTGAAGCGCCTTGCCCATAATAAGAGTGGAAATACTTGTTGGCTAGGAACGGAATCCACCGACTGAGGCAGAGAGCCTAACTCCAGTGTGAGGTCACACCTAAGGTGAAAATCCCTCTGCCTGCCCGGAAGTCGGGTGTTATTGCTGTTATTGCTGTTATTGCTTTTACCAGATACGGCACCCTGCCGTTTGAATTCTGACAGGCGTCAGCTATTAGTCCACCCAACATCCACCGGGGTCTGAGTCTCGTACGGACCACCTAGGCAACACAGTAGACTCACCATCTCAGTATGTCAGCGCCCATGAGCCCCGTGTCGCTGAGGCGAGTGTAGGTTGATGGACTTGCCTTGTTCTAGGTACAAAATGCGACTTCAGGCAGCGTCTTAGGCGAATGAATCCCGATAAGCATCTTATCGGGACAACCCTACTATCCGGACCAGTACCCACTGAAAATGCGGTCTGGTTGAGGCCGTGACCACGTACTGCTTGCTGCCTTGGATCCAACACTGCTCCTGCAACACCCCGCTATTTCCGTTATCATAATGCGGTGGAGGCGCCGACTTACAGTGAAGTTTGTGCATGAGTAGCTCAGATGTGCTAAGATACTGGAGAGTCCCTGAAGAATCAAATACTATCTTCCATTTGAGCAGATCCGAGGCGCTGAAAGTTTCATACAACATGTCTTTGGAGTTAGATGAAAACGTTTGCCAGAACAAGCTTTAGAGGGTATACTTCTCGGTTGACATTTTAAAATTATAAAATAATTTGCGACTATATTAACTTAATATTCTTTTAAATTTATCTTTTTAACTTTACTTATTAATTACCCGTGGTAAAAACCCAATGTTTATAATACTAATAATTTCTAGCTTAATAATAATTAACTTTATTATAACCGTCTCATGAACTAGGTTTCCTGGAACAGCCTCTGGCGGGACAACTCCGCCTGCAAGCTTCCGCCACCATCGCCAACGAATGCTTCAGCTAGGCCGACGAGGGGAGAGACAAGCGTGACGTCCGCGACGACGACGAGGGCGACGCTGTCATTGGATCTGCGGTCCAAGATATCGCTCTTCAATGCCAAGCCTCTATACTAGACGCCGGCTTTTGGAACGCATTTCTTCCGCTATGGGAACCGCCAGCTCGAGGATACTGCACGAGTCAAGGTCGCAGAGGCAAAGCAGTTGCTCACAGATAGATTGCCACCGTACATGATCCCTTCCATGTGGCTCGCTGTCGAGTTCATCCCTCGTCTTCGGTCGGGCAAGCTCGATCGCAAGCAGACTACGAAGTGGGTTGATGACATGAGCGAGGCTCTGTACCGTCAACTCAACCCTGTCACAGCCCCTCCTTGGAGGACATGACGTTTGCCAGTAAGACGGAGTTGGAGCTGCACAAGATCTGGAGCCACGTACTGAACCTCATCGCGGAACAGCTTGGCCTTCGACAGTCCTTTCTGAGCGTTGGCGGTGACTCCATCTCCGCTATGCAAGTCATGAGCGAGTGCAGGAAACGCGGCCTCGGCCTGGCCGTCTCACACATCATTTCTTGTAAGTCAGTAAGCGCCCTGACACTACACGTCAAGGATATCGAGACGCCGTTGTTCCACCAGGAGATTCTGGAACAGCCGTTCGAACTCTCGCCAATCCAGAAGCTTTACTTCTCGCGACCCAACCACTCCCAAGGCCACTACAACCAGAGCTTCCTCCTCCACACCAGCCAGCGCATTCTGCAGTCAGATATGCGCAGGGCCATCGAGACTATTATACGGAGACACTCGATGCTCCGTGCCAGATTCAGCCAGGACGCCGGCGGTGAATGACAGCAGCGAGTTACCAACGAGGTTGCGTCCGCGTATCGGTTGCGTACTCTTAAACTGGCTTCGAGTGAGGAAGTTGACTACTCCCTCGCCGACCGCCAAACATGCCTCAACGAGACGGAAGGCCCACTGTTCGCTGCTGATCTCATTAATCTCAAAGGGGAAGAGGAGCTCTTGTTCGTCGTCGCGCATCATCTAGTCATTTTCTTGGAGAATCATTCTCCAGGAACTAGAAGAGCTACTACTCCGGCCAGAACTAGTCCCTGATACAGACCGCCCATTGCCTTTCCAGACCTGGTGCAAGACGCAGTTGGGTCGTGTCGAGGCCTTGACGCCGGAGCAAGTTCTGCCCGTCCACGGCCTCCCTAATAAGAACGCAGAGTACTGGGGAATGGAGGACACACCCAACGTCTACGGGCAGATGGCCCGCGAAGGCTTCGAGATTGGATCTGCACAAACATCCCTCCTCCTGTCGAAATGTCACCAGCCATTGCGCACCGAGATACCTGACGTTCTCCTTGCAGCCATGATCTTCCCCTTCGGGCAGACCTTTACCGATCGGCCGATCCCGGCCGTGTTCGCCGAAGGGCATGGCAGGGAATCCTGGGGCACTTCCATCGACCTGTCCGACACGGTTGGGTGGTTTACAACCATTTACCCAGTCTTTGCGGGATCGACGGCGCAGTCCAGTCTTGTTGACACGGTGAAGCTTGTCAAAGATCGACGACGCAAGGTTCCCGGCAGCGGAAGGCCGTACTTTGCGAGCCGCTGGCTGACCCAGCCGGGCAAAGACGCCTTTTCCCGTCACTGGCCGCTGGAGATTACTTTCAACTACCTTGGCCAGTATCAGCAGCTGGAGCGTGATGGTGCTCTCTGTACCCCTGCGAAGGATAACATAGGACAAGTCAGGGGTGCCACCGACGGTGCAGACGTCGGTCCGCTAACGACTTGCATTTCCTTCTTCGAGGTCTCTGCCGTCATCCTCAAGGGATCTCTCCGGTTCTCGTTTGTTTTCAACCAAAACATGAACCATCAGCCCGAGATCCGCCAGTGGATTGCTTCCTGCCAACATAGCCTTGGTGTCCTCATTGAATCTCTGGCCCCTGAGCCTACGTTAAGCGACTTCATACTCCTCTCCCTTACCTACGACCACCTTCAGCTCATGACGGAGAAAAAGCTCCCCGAGGCTGTAGTCACATCCATGGACTTAGTCGAAGACGCCTACCCTTACTCTCCTATGCAATCAAGACTCTTAATCAGCTCGACCAAGAACAGCGCCTTTTATGCCGCTTACACGCTCCACGAGGTCAAGAGTAGAAACGGTGTGCCCGTCGACGTGACGAAACTTGCCAATGCCTGGAAACACATAATCCAGTACCAACCCATGCTCAGGACCATCTTCATGGAGAGCGGACTCGGCAGGATTCGCTCTACGATCAGGGAGTGCTCAAAGAAGTCGACTTCCCGCTCATTGTATCAGAGAAACATACAAAGAAAGACACAATCACAGCTCCAAGCAGACCGCCTCTGCACCAAAACGACAATGCTCAGCTATTGCATCGCTTTGAAATTTGCACATCGAAGAGCGGCAAGGTCTTCTGCAGACTTGACATTAGCCACATCATCATGGACGGCACTTCTCTATCAATTGTCTTCCGAGACCTCGCCTTGGCATATGAGGGGAGCCTTGGATCCGGTGAAGACCTACTGTATCGCAAGCGTGTCTCCGTTCTTGCTGGGGAAAACTTCCCCAGCGGCAAGTCATCCGAACTAATAGGTCTACTAATAGCCTAGGTAGCAACTGTAGCCTGGCGGGGCCGCGTTCAATGTGACCCAAGGCGCCAATCGCACACGGCGCTTACAGTGTATTTTTGGTAGGAAAGTCACCAACATACCAATCACCACCATCCAGAAACAATCTGCCTCGTAGACTTCCAAGAATTAGTCTACTGTACAATTACTAGACAGCCAACACCAACCAACCCATCTAGTATATTGAGCAATATAAAAGCAGGTTTCAACTCAAACCTTTTCCCATCTATTCCATTAACTGTATTCTTCCTCTATAGCCTTAACTTTCAATACTTTCTCCAAACTAAATTACTCAATACTAAGCCTAAACTATCTAAGCTATCTAGTATAACTAATAGCAGAGGCTTTATTAAATTACTAATACTAGATAAGGAGGAAATAATAAAGAAGGTAGCTAATAATTCTAAAAAATACTAAAAGAAGAAAGAAAAAAAGAAAGAAATAAAAAAGCTAATAAAAAAAGCAGCTAATAAGTCCTAAAAGTATAGAGGTAAAGAGTTTAGTACTACTTAAAAATATACTTTTCTAACTAAGGTATATTAAATTAATTTTTAATAGTATTAATCCTACTAATAATTATATAAATAAACTTATTTATTACTTTAGTTAAATAGCTAATATCTTAAGATATAATTATAATATTTCTCTAGAATTATTATTATAGCTATAATATAAAATAAACTAAAAGGAATTTTAACTAAATTTTAATAGAAGTAGCTATAATTTAGTTCTTTATTAAACTTACTTCTTAAAATATAAAATTATTTAGATATCTTATAATCTTTATAAATTAATATCTTTTTTTAATATTACTTTATAAGTATAATTATTATAAAAATATATTTTTATATACTATTCTTATTTTAAAATTATAATACTTCTTAAAGTATATATATATTATTATTAAATATAAAATACTCCTCTTATTCTTACTTATTATTAATAAACTAAATTATATACTTTTTTATATAGGCTATTTTTTATTTTATTTTTATTTATATTAATAATTTAAGCTTTACTTATATTACCTTATTAAATAAGCTAAAACTATTTTATTTATTTAATATATACTATTTTATCTATATCTAAACCTATAAAACTTCTTTAATTAATTTAAAAAGAAAAAACCTTTTAGTTATTTAGCTATAAAATAAAAATCTTACTATAATTTTACTCTACTACCTTAAAAAACTTATTATTATTATTAGATCTATACTAATAAACTTATTACTAGCCTTATCTAGATTATATAATATATATTTACCTATCTTCCAGTTTTAGCTTCCTCTAGGTTATAGAGAAGCCGTCGGGGTTTATATATAAGATTGCAGCAACCGGTGCTACAACCCGCCTGGTTCGCCTTCTTCGTAATCGCTTCGGCGGCGCTGCATCTACCCTTCCTGGTGCGGACCTCCGGATGCCCTTGCGGTGGCCCCCCGGGCCGCCGTCGGGATCCCGGAGCTCGGCCTTTCCTTCTTCCGGTTATGTGACCCTTGTGTGTCGGTGCGTATATGGGTGCCGGGCCCGCGCAGCCGTTCGCTTAGAATCCCGGCCCTATAATTTCCGGGGCTGGTTCGCCCTGCTGTATCGCGGGGCGGGCCCTGCGTTGCCTTAGCAGTTTCTATTCTTATCTTTTTCTTATTTTCAGTTTAGGCTCTTGATAGCTTTAAATACGCCTCTATCCTCGTGCCCCTTAGAGCTTAAGGATTCGGGGCCTGCCTGAGGCTTTTCCGGGTTCTATAAAAAGCCCCTTTCCCTTTGTTTCTTCCTTTTCTTTTTCCTTTCTTCTTTATTATTCCCCCGCCGCCGCCCCTGCTGCGGCTATCTCTTGTGAGTCTCCCTTCTTCTCTTTTTATAGTCTCTGTGCTGTTGCTGGGTTCTTGCTGACTTGTAGGAAGTTATTTTTTTCCTTTTTTATTTCCTGCCTAATTGCCGCTTTAATTATATCTTAATTTCGCTACGATACCTCCCCGCTCGACCCCCGAGGAGCGGAAGGCAAAGGCTGCAGCCCGTCGCTATAAGAAAGCCGCCTAGAAGAAGGCTAAGAAAAAAGCCCTTAATGAGGCTGCTGCGGCTGCCCTGGCTTCTCCCGCCGACGAGGAGGAGGAGGAGGAGGAGGAGGAGGAGGTTGTTATTACTCCTCTTAAGCGACCTTCTAGCAATACTGCCGCGGGTATATCTAAGAGTTTAAAGAGATCTAAGCCTAATATCTCTTTACTCTATATTACTCTTAAGGTCTCTAATAAGCTGCTAACCCTTCTAGTTGATATAGCGGAAGTCTTTCTTACTAAGATAAGTACTCTGTAATATTTCTATAATATTCCTACTAATCTATTCTATAGAAAGTCAGTAGTTACTAATCTATCTTCTATACCTATTATATTTAGTTAATAATTTTAGCTAGTACTTCTAGTTATTTTTACTTTGCCTATAGTATATTATCTCTATATTATTTCTATAGTCTTTTCTTTCTTTAATATTAACTCTTAATTAGGCTTTAATAGCTACTATACCTACTATATAAAGAGAAAGTATATTTATATCTTAGTAAGTAGCCTCTATAATACTGCTAAGTTTTTATTAACTCTTTTTAAATTTCTTTTTACTCTGCTAAATTTATTATTTCTACCCGGGCTTTATTTATAGCCTATTTTATCTAGTATTATACTTATTAAAAGGTGGATATAACTCTTAGCTATATAGATACCTCTATAATTATATAGGGATCTTACTAATTAGATATAGTCTAATAATATAAATAAGGCTAAGGAGATTTTTAGCTATTATAATTAGCAGGCTATTACTATAGCTTTTACTATAGAGAGAGTAAAGAATAATATAGCTATTAAATTAGCTTTAAAGGCTTTTAGTAAAGGCTTTATAGCTACTAAAACTAACTATCTTCTTTATTATCTTATTATTTTTAAGAAGGCTTTTTTTACTGCTATTTCTATTAAGATTTTTTTAAATAGAGAGGATAATAATAGTATTATTAACTAGTAGATATCTTAATAGTATTACTTTAACTTTAGCTTTAGACTTTTAATAAGTATTATTTTTTATAAGCTTAGTTTCTTTATAGAGTAATTTTTATTTATATCTTAAATAATTTAGATAGTTACCTATATATTATTACTAAGATCTTATTTCTCTTTTATTTATTTTTTATATTTTCTATTTCTTTTATAGGGCTATTACTAGTTTAAACTATATAGGTTAGACTATTTTATTATATTAAATTGCTACTATAAGTACTATATATTTATTACTAAGATAATATTCTATATTTCTATAGTTTTATAATTTAAGTTTTAAAAGAAGGGTTTTATTATAGAGTATATAATAGGTAAAGATATACTTAATAATTTGCCTACTATTATTATAGAAGTACTATAGCAATATTACCTAAAGAACTCTTCTATTAAAAAAAAAACTTAAAGGCTAATATAGCTTATTTATAGTTAGATAATTAGGCTATTAATATATCTTAGTTAGCTTTTATATAATATCCTATAGTCTATTTTAAAGAGGAATTTATTTAAGATACTAGTATTATTATAGTCTCTCTATATTCTCTATTTTACTGCCTTAGCTGCTTAATATACTTTCCAGTCTTTATTTATAATATTAGCTGCTACTTTTTTATTTCTAAGCTACTTTTATAGCTATTTAGTATTTACTTTATTAGGGTATCTTTATAGGCCTCTATATTTTAATAGAGCTGCTAATATTACTATAATAGCCCTATTAATTACCTATTAGGCCAGTTTAGTACTGGTATATACTTTAAAATAAGCAAGCTATAAATTAAGATAAAAGTCTAGGGGGGGAATATTAAGCTTTATTTCTAAGTTTCTTATTAGAGTAGCCTTATAGGCTCTAGCTGCTATATAAAGGCTCTTTATCTACTTTATAGCTAACTTATAGGCTATTTCTTAGAAGTTACCACTTTATTTAGTAGGTTAGTAAAAAGTAGAGGTATTATAAATTAGAGTAATTATAATTATAATTATATAGATTAGGCAGCTTTTATAGATATTATAT